GTTAGGACTCTGGATTGTTTGCCTTTTGCATTTAAATGTGAGCTGCTCAGTATCTCTAGGAACTGGCTAGCCCTGGGCAAGGCAGTCTCTCTAAAGGCTCGGCAAATCCATTTGACTAACCCGAGGCAGGGAGTGGTTGCATGGTTAGTCCTGAGAGGTTTTGTGGGCACAAGACCATTGGTTTAATATATTTAATTAATTAACGTCTGCCCAGATGTACTAATGCCAGAAGTCTAAGGGGTCTCTCCCAAGTATAAAATATGTACTTGGGGACTTCAGAGACAATGCAGCTGCCTGACTGGCTAACAGAGGAGTAACTCCACTGATACGTACACACTTTACAGTGGACCCCTCCCTAGCACTTGGAATTTAGGTCAAATTGCCTCCACTCCCCAAGTCCATGCCCTGGAGAAACTTCTCCAGTGTTTCTGTAAGTTCCTAAGGACTTACTTTTTCACCATCTCCTCTGCCTCCAAGTCCCTGTGCCCCACATGCTCTCCTAATACTGCCCTTGCAGACCTAGAAAGCAATACTGCAACACTTTTCCTAATGCCTTTCCCTGACAAAATAAAAATTCACTCATAAGGAAGGATTGGTGAGCAAGGTAGAATTTCCTGAAGATTTGCATAGGAGGTAGGGGCAGACGGGTTTGCCTTGCACACTCCACAACAAATGACTTGGAAATATATTTGGACATTCTGATTGCCCACAGTGCCTTTTTAGCCAACTAATATTCCGAGAATTCTCTGACATCCTTACTCCTTTCCCACAAGCAGAGTCTTATATCTCCCTTCTTTGTACACAGTGATATGCAAATTAATCAGCCAAACAAATAAGCAAAAAAAAAAAAAGAGAGAGACAAAAGGAGACAAGAAAACCCAAAAAACATTACGTTGTTGACTTGTATATCAAATGTGGTGATAGGTTACATTTAATAAGATTCTGAATACTGCAAATTAAAAAGTGTGACATGAATTACTAAATATTCTCCAAATACCCCTAAATTGGAAAAATCATCAAGAGCCAAATAATGACAAAATTGGTGAACGATATGAATCGTAAACTCAAATATATTAGTAATTGTATTAAATGTAAATGGACTAAGTGCTCTAGTTAAAACACAAAAATTGATGGATAGGATTAAAATAAACAAAATCTAACTTTGTAGCGTTTACTAAAGAAACATATAAGACACGTGAACACAGAAATTCTGAATGTGAAAGCAGAGAGAAAAATTATAGCATGTAAATATCAACCAAAAGAAAATGGAGTAGTTATATTAATATCAGACAAAATAGAGCTTATGACAAAAGTATTAATGAAGAGGTTTACCTTCCAATGAAACAGATTTAATATATAATATATCATATAATTATGAGTAACATATAACATTGAAAAACTTGCATGAGATGTTCAACACTTTATTATAAAGCAGGCTTTATTTTAGATGGTTTTGCCCAACTGTAGGCTAATGTAAGTGTTCTGAGCATGTTTGAGGAAGGCTTGGCTAACCTATTATATTCGATAGATTAGGTGTATTAAATGCATATGTGACTTACAGTATTTTCAACTTATGATGGATGTAACTCCATCATAAGTTAAGGAAGATCTTCACCACATTTTCTTTATGCATTCATCCTTTGATGGACACTTAGGTTGCTTCCATGTCTTGGCTATTGTAAATAATGTGCAATAAACATGGGGTGCCTGGCACAAAGTTAAGTGTTCAATAAATGTCATATGTTCTCATTAATATTGTTATTTAAAGATAGTTAAAAATGTATGTATCCTGTACTTAATATGAAAACTACGAATGGAACATTTTAAATTTCTTGTTATAACATAAAACAAGTGGAGTTGATTCTGTAAATATGGATCTTGATGTCTTCTTGGTGGATATTTGGCTCTGTGGAGAAAAAAGATTTCCTATATTTGCTATTGGTCTTCAATATGTAGATGTTGGCTGGACCTCAGTGGATGACAGCCCTAGATATGATAAGAAGGATGAAATTCTCTCTAATGTTTGCAAGCCTTAAGCTCCTGGTACCTGCTTTATCAGTTCTCCAGGGGAAATCTTTTCTCTCATTTCAGAGGTGAGAACACCATAGGTCTTATACAGTCCATTTGTCAATCTTTGGCTTGATGTTCTCAGTTGAGTTTTAAAGACTATAGGCCCTCTACATTTCTGCTCTTCAAGAAACTGCTAAGCTCTTCCTGACAAAACTTTGGCCTTGCAAATGCAGTAAGAATCTGACATGGTATTTTTGATATTTGACTGCTAACAGCTTTTGAGCCTCACCTCATCCTTTTCCCTTCTG